TATACTGTACGTCATTGGATGTCAACGAAGGTCATCTGAATTATAGTGACGATGAAGAAAATTTGACAAAAATACAAGTTTTTATCTGAAAGGAGAAGGGGGGCGTGGAGACGAAGGGACCTGGAGACGAAGGGACCTGGAGACGAAGGGACCTGGAGACGAAGGGACCTGGAGACGAAGGGACCTGAAGACGAAGGGACCTGAAGACGAAGGGACCTGAAGACGAATGGACCTGGAGACGAGGAACCTGGAGACGGTCAACATAGAGAGAGGATCAGATGTCTTCTCTGATTTGTGGAAAGTTGAGACAGCTAAGTAGTGTCTCGCCTCAACCCACCCCACCCCACCACCACCCACGCTACACCCGCCCCACGCCGCCACCACCCACGCTACACCCACCCCACCCCACGCCGCCACCACCCACGCTACACCCACCCCACCCCACGCCGCCACCACCCACGCCTACACCCAACTTCTCTCTCTTCTCATAGTCATTCCTTTTACTTAGCACCACCAATTTACCGGGATAGAGACAGAGAGATGTTATACCCCCCCCCCCACAAGAAAATACTTATCGTTAGAGGGATTAATTACTTTGAGTGATGATAAGAGGAATCAAAATGACGATTGATACCGTGAAATGAGGTGGTTGTGTTAATGTTTAGGTCATGTTACGGTGGAGATTCTTCAGGTGATCCCAAGAGATACCATTACCTAATACTAATCACCCCTGGGATGATCCTTTACTAACTATTACTGCTACTTATTTACTATGCATGGCTTCTCTTCCCCAGACCCTGAATGGAGTGACGTTAAGTCTGTTTGTAGAGTTCCGCGCGACCGCTCAGCCACGGTGTCACGTCAGACTCACCTGTATGTAAATCCTCTCTGCCGCTATTCACCGTTTACCTGCTGACTCTGAGCTCTTGTGTTATGGATGAGCTGACACTGCTGACACATACGTCATGTTCGCAATTTCTCTCGATTTAGAGGCTAATTTTGTGTTGGCGTTTCGTGTTTCTGGTTAAGATAACACAGTGATGGTGATGTTGCCTGCATGGATCAAACACCAATTGAAGTTTGTTGAGTTTTTATCTGTTGGCTGTGTGGTGGTGGTGGTGGTGGTAGTGTGGTGGTGGGAGGGGCACAAGACTTTACAACCTCCCTATAATGATTTACCTTAATTTATAAAGAGATGAATGTCCCAGGGGAAACAAAAATTATTAGACCTCGCGGATACTGACGAAGTGATCAAATTAATGTGGAAGGTAAAAATGTTTCTCTTTATCTTGACGTTGAAACAAGGAACTGTTTTTTTTCTCCCAAGTCGGGGTTTGTTTACATGTTGGGGTTTGTTTACATGTCGGGGTTTGTTTACATGTTGGGGTTTGTTTACATGTTGGGGTTTGTTTACATGTCGGGGTTTGTTTACATGTTTTTTTTTCCCAAGTCGGGGTTTGTTTACATGTTGGGTTGAGTAGTAAATAAGAGAAGACGATGACGCTAAAGCGCAGATTCCAGTCCTTCACTTATGGGGTTCTGTGTGTGTGCGGGCACACACACACGCACACGCACACACACACGAAAGTGGGAATTGGAAATGATGATGTCTGGTAGTGGTGGTGGTAGTGGGGGAGGGTGGTGATGGGGAGGGTGGTGATGGGGAGGGAGGGATGGTAGTGGTAGTGGTAGAGGAAGTAAATGAAAAAGAAAAAGGTGAACAAACTTAAAGTTATTATTACATCTTATTTATAACAGTGATTACGTCCACGCCATAGCTCCCCCGTGTATAGACAGGCATGGGTCCACACACACACACACACACACACACGACAGTTCCCTACACTAATGGACGGGAGGAGCCTCAGTGTACAGTTTGTTGGCATTTTAATCGCCATCTTTGAGTTGTGGTTCAAATGAGTCAATTACTTTTGGTTTTACCTTTCCAGTTACGGTAGAAGATAACGTAGGAAGTCTATGAGAATCAGAGACTTGGGCTGTGGCGAGTGACGGGTGATATCTGACGAGTGGCGGGTGATATCTGACGAGTGACGGGTGATATCTGACGAGTGACGGGTGATATCTGACGAGTGGCGGGTGAGGTGATATCGACGAGTGGCGGGTGATAGCTGACGAGTGGCGGGTGATATCTGACGAGTGGCGGTGATAGCTGACGAGTGGCGGGTGATAGCTGAATCATTATCGGCGATTATCTCAAGTGACGCGACACACAGAAATAAGGTCAATCAGTAAGGAGGGAGAGGAGGAAGGAAGAGAGAGAGAAGGAGAAGAGAGGAGGAAAGAGAGGAGGGGGCTGGACGCTGGCATATGAGGTTCATGCTTCTGTAGACATAAGAAATACACGTCACGACCATCACCACCACCACCAAAACCACCACTAGAACCACCACAAACAGACCATTATCACCACTATTACCACTACTCCCACCACCAACAGACCATTATCACCACCACCACTAGAACACCACCAACAGACCATTATCACCACCACCACTAGAACCACCACCAACAGACCATTATCACCACTATTACCACCACTAGAACCACCACCAACAGACCATTATACCACTATTACCACTACTAGAACCACCACCAACAGACCATTATCACCACTATTACCACCACTAGAACCACCACCAACAGACCATTATCACCACTATTACCACCACCACTAGAACCACCACCAACAGACCATTATCACCACTATTACCACTACTCCCACCACTAGCCCTCCCATAATAAGAGTCATCCTCTGAGCCAAGGTGTGAGAACGACCCCCAACACACACACACACACCTTTATCCACCCAACCTAACCCAACCCAACCCAACCCAACAACCAACCCAACCCAACCCAACAACCACATTATTTACCAAGAACTAAAAATCAAAAGTTTGTTGTATATAAATAGAATCAACATACACCTATATATTTAATTCACCTGAGGTTACGAGTTAATTAGCCAACACATGAGAGAGAATAATCGCTTAAAGCCAAGGAATCCAGGTGAGCTTAAGGTGTTGTCTTAATTAGTTGGGGAGATAAAAGAATAAGATGTTAGGTTTTTTTATTTTTGTTGGAGAGAAGGTGAAAGGAGAAGAAGAGGAGGTGAGAGAAGGTGAGAAGAGGTGAGAGAAGGTGAGAAAGGTGAGAAGGTGAAGAGAAGAGAGGAGAGAGGTGAGAGAGAAGGTGAGAGAAAGGTGAGAGAAGGTGAGAAGAGGTGAAGGTGAGAGAGAAGAGAGAGGAGAGGTGAGAGAAGGTGAGAGGGAGAGGTGAGAGAAGGTGAGAGAAGAGAGGAGGGTGAGAGAAGGGTGAGAAGAGGTGAGAGAGAAGGTGAGAGAAAGAGGTGAGAGAGAGTGAGAGAAAGAGAGGGAGAGAGGTGAGGAGAAGGTGAAGGGTGAGGAAGAGAGGAGGGTGAGAGAGGTGGGGGTGAGAGAGGAGAAGTGAAGAGAGAGAGGGTGAGAGAAGGTGAAAGGGGAGGTGAGAGAGGTGAGAAGAGGTGAGATGAAGAGGGAGAGGTGAGAGAGAAAGAGGAGAGAGAGGTGAGAGAGAAGGTGAGAAGAGGTGAGAGAGAAGGGAGGTGAGAGAGAGAGGAGGTGAGAGAAGGTGAGAGTAGAGGTGAGAGAAGAGAGGGAGAGGTGAGAAGGGAGTGTGTGTGTGTGTCGGGAGGTATTTTGTCCCCTCTCTGATATGGTCAAAATGTGATCTGTCGTTTTTTGTTTTGTTTTACGTCTATTATTCGTATAAGCTTCTATCTTATTTACGTAATAACGAAAAGAAGGTATAGAGTGTGTGTGTGTGTGTGTTGTGTGTGTGTGTGTGTGAAACGATGGGAGTATCATAGCTATAAACATGTTCTTTTCACCAGCCACTCAGAGACACACACACACCACACACACACACACACACACACACACACACACACACACAACCCTTCTCACTGTCTAACTGTAGAGTAATTCAAAACTAAGTCTCTCTCTCTGTCTCTCCTGCACCTGGTCATGTTAAAACCAACATCGCCTACTCAAATAGTACAAAAAGAAAGAGAGAATGGTTCCTGTAGTCGGTGTGAGAAAAATATGATATATATAGTTATTGAACTATATGTGGTAGTACTAATGTTTCTTGTAGTGGTGGTAGTGGTGGTAGTGGTGGTTGTTGTGATGGTGGATGGTGTGACGTCACTTTCATTATGCATCATCCTTATCTTATAATCCTCACCCCATCACTATGTCCCCTCATCCTCCCCCATCACCTCACCCCATCACACTATGCTCACTCAACCCATCACATCCTCCCCCCCCATCTCACACCACTATCTCACCCCCATCACCTCATCCCACCCACCAGAGCATCACAAACAGGGGACATGGTGGCAGTAAACTAGGTCAGGGAGTGAGTTGCCAGCGACGCTCAGCCTTTCCTCCCTCCTCCCTCTCTCTCTCCCCTCTCTCTATTTTCCTTTCCCTCCTACCTTCTTTCCTCTCCCTACCTCTCTCCTTCTCCCTTTTTCCCCTCTCCCTCTCTCCTCCTTCCCTCTACCCTCCCTGACACCCCACTAACTTACTGCGTCTTCTAAACAGTGCCTATGATCAGACAAAATATATCTAATTCTCCTAAAAAAGCATTATTTGTGTGTTTTTCTTCCAGTATGAGACTTCGGTGAGTCTTTTGTAATTCCGTTAAAAAAAAACATTTATAAGCTCATAAATGTGTTTCATGGTCTAGTAAGATGTTTTTGTATATTATAATCATACGTGCGTCTAATTGCGTTATGTGTCCAGTTGCTTCATGCGTTCTACCACTCTCAACCATCATTACGACTGTCACCATTCAGACTACCACTTTTACCACCTTTAACACACTTCTTCCCATCCTCACTACCACTGTCACCATCTTCACCATCACCACTATCGTTCTCATCTCAACCATGTCGTCACTAATAAAGGTACTGACGAGTGTTCCTCCTCTTCCTGCAGGTGACAGACTCCTGGACATCCCCTGCAAGGTGTGTGGCGACAGATCCTCAGGGAAACATTACGGCATATATTCCTGTGATGGTAAGTGGATCATTTGGTCTCTCTCTCTCTCTCTCTCTCTCGCTTTCTTTCTTCTTCTCTCTCTCTCTCTCTCTCTCTCTCTCTCCTTCGCGTTTTTTTCTTTCGCCTCCGATGTTTACAGTCCTGACAGGTTTTTCCTTGTTCAAACTCTCATACTTGTCTGTCTCTTTGCCCCACACGTCCAACATCTTCTCCTGTCTCTGTTCAAGTTTACTTCTCTCGTAGATGTCGTCTCTATCTCTGTCTCTCTATCTCTCTCTCTACAGCTATCTCTTTGATTATCTCCCTGTCTTTCTAATTCTCATTTTCTTTCCCTTTGTCTCTCTATATTTCAGTATCTCTCTATCTCTCCGGCCAGTACACCCCCTCCCCTAAACAAAAAACCCACATCCACAGCTTCGTCGTCTCCCCCGACAGGCTGCTCCGGGTTCTTCAAGAGAATCCACCGCAACCGAGTCTACACGTGTAAGGCGACTGGTGACATGAAGGGTAAGTGTCCCATTGACAAGACTCATAGGAACCAATGTCGCGCCTGCCGCCTCAACAAGTGCTTCGACGCCGCCATGAATAAGGATGGTGAGTACATGTTCCTGCCTGTGTGTTCCTCCTTCTTCCTCCTCCTCCTCAGGCTGTGTGTTAGTTGATCAGCTGAGTCAGTGAATGAGGATTCCTTTTGACTCTAGTTCTTGATGTTGTTAGGGACAGTTGATGTTCTTGTGTTTTAGTTGATGTCGTTGTATGTTTCTTGATGTTGATGTTCTCGTATTTAATTGATGTTGTAGCTGTAAGTAAATGATGATGATATATATATATATACACACAGTTTATTCCACGACCCTTTTCACACTTGTTTAGTCAGCAGAGAGTGGTTAGGGTAACACAATGACTGTGAATGACCCGAAGAAATTAATTGTGTATCTGTTAATTCTTTTGGTGAGCTCGTTGATTTCACACACACACACACACACACACACACACACACACACACACACACACACACACACAGGTAATAAAATACACCTCCACCAGCCTTCCGTCTCTAAAACCCAGACCCCTTACAGCAAACATGTTGTCTGCCAGCGAGTGACAATCTGTCCAAATCTTACCCGGTCATGACTGTGTGTGTGTGTGTGTGTGTGTGTGTGTGTGTGTGTGTGTTTCGTATGAAGGTATGAATGTATTTTCATCTATGATATCACCTGGAAGGAATCATGTGAGAGAGAGAGAGATGAGAAGAGATAGAGAGATAAACTGGATGAGTTAGAGGAGATAGAAGAGTTAAGAGAGAGACAAACAAGAGATAGAATAGTCAAGAGAGAGACAGTTAGACAGACAGAAAGCGACAGAGAGACAGACATGACGAGGTAACATCGGAGATCAAAGAGACAGGAGGTGACCGATAGTGACGTCATGTACTATCTCTTAACACATCTGTCCGCTGTCTTCTGACCAACACACACACACACACACACACACACACACGAACACACACACACACACACACGCGCGCGCACCTACACACACACACACACACACACACACACACACACACACACACACACACACACACACACACACACACACACACACACACACACACACACACACACACACACACACACACACACACACACACACACGCACACACACACACACACACACACCACACACACACACACACACACACACACACACACACACACACACACACACACACACACACACACACACACACACACACACCACACACACACACACACACACACACACACACACACACCCTAAAACACGTCCATCAAGATAGCTTTTGAACTAAACTCAAAGCCTCCCATCAACCTGTGACTGATACAACGATACCAACTCGTGTGTGTGTGTGTGTTTATCGTGTGTGTCTGTGTGTAGTGTATTATAAAAACATTCATCTCTCTATCTTGTAAATTGAGAATGTTTATAATAGCAGTTAAGTTTATCCCTAGCTAATGACTGTTGTTTTTAATTAAGTGTATGTGTTTGTGTTTTTGTGTGTTGTGTTGTGTGTGTGTGTGTGTATTTTGGAAGTAACACCAACATCCTCCTTTCCTTAACCTCTCCCTCCCTCACTCCTCCCCCCTCTCTCCCTCTCTCCTCCTCCCCTCTCTCTCTCTCTCTCTCCCTCCCCCTCCTCCCTCTCCCTCCCCTCTCTCCCCTCTCTCTCTCTCCCTCACGCTCCTCCCTCTCCCTCCCCCTCCCTCCGTCTCTCCCCTCTCTCTCCTCTCTCTCCCTCCTTCACCTCCTCCCCTCTCCCTCCCCTCTCTCCCTCTCTCTCTCCCTCTCTCTCCTCTCTCTCCCTCCCTCCCTTCCTTCAGACAGTCTCACTACATCTTGACAATAACCTGGACACTCCACTAATTATTCCTGCCTCATGAATATTTATCTCACCCTAATAAGGCTTGTGGGAGCGAGGATGAATACTGATGACACCAACACCTTCCTTCACACCTCCTCCTCTTCCTCCTCCTCCTCCTCTCTTCTTCTTCCTCCTCCTCCTCCTCCTCCTCCTCCTCTCTCTTAGGAAGCGAGGATAAGTAATTAAATTATTGTACCAGACACCAACCTTGTCTCAGATACAGTAATTATCGTAACTCAAACCAAAACCAACGATCCTTTAATGTTTGGTTTGGTTAGGTTAGAAAAGATAGGTTAAAGTAGATTATATTAGATTATATTAGGTTAGGTTAGGTTAAAGTAGATTATATTATATTAGGTTAGGTTAAAGTAGATTATATTAGATTAGGTTAGGTTAAAGTAGATTATATTAGATTATATTATATTAGGTTAGGTTAAAGTAGATTATATTAGATTATATTATATTAGGTTAGGTTAAAGTAGATTATATTAGATTAGGTTAGGTTATATCAGGTTAAATTAGCGTTGGGGTGCCTAATCTTCACGTGTATGTCCTAACGTAACCTAACCTAAATCGCTGTCGTTTGTGGGCTGAGTGATTGTGGGCAGGGGTTGAGGGTAGTGATCAGGGCGTGGGCGTGATGGGCATGGGTGAGACAGGGCTGGAGGGGCAGTGATCAGGGCGTGGGCGTGATGGGCGTGGATGAGACAGGGTTGAAGGGTAGTGATCGGGCGTGGGCGTGATGGGCATGGGTGAGACAGGGCTGGAGGGCAGTGATCAGGGCGTGGGCGTGATGGGCATGGGTGAGACAGGGTTGAAGGGGTAGTGATCAGGGCGTGGGCGTGATGGGCATGGGTGAGACAGGGCTGGAGGGCAGTGATCAGGGCGTGGGCGTGATGGGCATGGGTGAGACAGGGCTGGGGTAGTGATCAGGGCGTGGGCGTGATGGGCATGGATGAGACAGGGTTGAGGGGTGATCAGGGCGTGGGCGTGATGGGCGTGGATGAGACAAGGCTGGAGGGCAGTGATCAGGGCGTGGGCGTGATGGGCGTGGATGAGACAGGGCTGGAGGTAGTGATCAGGGCGTGGGCGTGATGGGCGTGGATGAGACAGGGCTGGAGGGGCGTGATCAGGGCGTGGGCGTGATGGGCATGGGCAGGGGCTGGAGGTAATCAGGGCGTGGGCGTGATGGGCGTGGATGAGACAGGGCTGGAGGGGCAGTGATCAGGTCGCCTCGCGTCACCGCCCGTGAAAACGCTGCACATGTTCCAACTCAACCGTGACGACCCGTGTCCCGACCCAAGCCCACAACCACGGCTTCTGCTACACCCTCCTCCCCCACCCCTCCTCCTCCTCCCCGTCCTAACACACATACAGACTATGTAACCTGTTAGAATTTTCAATAATCACCTCGTATCATCAACAAGGAATAATTACACAGGCATAATTTTTACCCAAACGAGTAATTAGTTATGTTCTGAATTACTTTAATGTATGTAGAGGTTAAAGTGGTGTTAGGGTTAGGGTGGGAGGTTGTTTGAGGCCGTGGTCACAGGGACGTGAGCGCGTGTCATAGGGGGCACGTGCTGGCGGCAGATAGCCAACGATTATGTCCTGAGAGCCCTTGGTGCTCTCCCATCCTCCCACCCCATCACATTCTCCTCCCTCATGCTGTTTCCTCATTACCTCCCCTGATGATCTCCTTATTGATTGTCCTGGGAGTAGATGAGGAGGGGGAGGAGGGGAGGACGGAAGGGGAGAGGGAGGAGTAGGAGGGGAGGATATCTCTACGACTTTCATTGTCTTGTTTATCTTTTGTTTTGTTGTTGTTGTGGCAGCCCTGAACACACGCGTGCACACACACACACACACACACACACACACACACACACACACACACACACACGAGCGCGCGCATACACCACTACTATTACATACTTTGCTGTCACTTGGAATCGAGTATGACGATCATCCAGCTACCACAACAACAACAACAACAAAACAACAACCATACTACCACCACTACTACCACAACAGCCATATCACCACCACTACCACAACAGCCATACTACCACCACTACCACAACAGCCATACTACCACCACTACTACCACAACAACCATACCACCACTACTACCCAACAACAACCATACTACCACCACTACTACCACAACAACCATACTACCACCACTACTACCACAACAACCATACTACCACCACTACCACCACAACAGCCATACTACCACCACCACCACAACAGCCATACTACCACCACTACCACCACAACAGCCATACTACCACCACTACCACCACAACAACCATACTACACACTACTACCACAACAACCATACTACCACCACTACTACCACAACAACCATACTAACACACCACTACACCACAACAACCATACTACCACCACTACTACCACAACAACCATACTACCACCACTACTACCACAACAACCATACTACCACCACTACTACCACAACAGCCATACTACCACCACTACTACCACAACAACCATACTACCACCACTACTACCACAACAGCCATACTACCACACTACTACCACAACAGCCATACTACCACAACTACTACCACAACAACCATACTACCACCACTACTACCACAACAACCATACTACCACCACTACTACCACAACAACCATACTACCACCACTACTACCACAACAGCCATACTACCACCACTACTAACACAACAACCATACTACCACCACTACTACCACAACAACCATACTACCACCACTACTACCACAACAACCATACTACCACAACTACCACCCACAACAGCCATACTACCACCACTACCACAACAACCATACTACCACCACTACTACCACAACAACCATACTACCACCACTACTACCACAACAACCATACTACCACACTACTACCACAACAACCATACTACCACCACTACTACCACAACAGCCATACTACCACCACTACCACCACAACAGCCATACTACCACCACTACCCACCACAACAACATGGCCACACCACCACTACTACCACAAACAACCATACTACCACCACTACTACCACAACAACCATACTACCACCAACTACTACCACAACAACCATACTAGCACCACTACTACCACAACAACCATACTACCACCACCACAACACAACAACCACTACCACCACTACCACCACTACTACCACAA